TGTACTAAGTATGTTGATACATTTATTAACTAGTTTAAAATGAAATTTAAATTTTAAAATAATTAAAAAGCACTATATAATGTTTTTGTTTTCTCCAATTCAAGGTGAATTTTGACACTGGTGTGTCTTCAAACAACATGCAGCTGCCAATACCTTGTAGATATCTTAGGATACCACTGCACAAGGAACATATCCCTAACTTGGGGAGACTAGCTGTTAGAAGGAGGTGATAAAACATGGTAAGTCCTTATAATTTTTCCAGTTATCCCTAATTATCATTAAAATTGGGATAAACTAAGATAATGGACTGGATTATCCTAGGGGGCTTTTAGTTCTAACATCTATGAATTTTAATTTTTCTGAATCAAAGACATAAAGACAGAGAAATATAGTTAGTAACTTTTAACAGATGGCATTACTTTATGAATCCTTTTCAAATTTCATTAAGGTAACATCCTAAAACCATATTACAATTTATGCAAATCTTCCAGAAGCAAGTTCTTAATTTCTTAACATACATGAACTATATCTGCCAATAATCCGTTTAGCTGTGGGTATTTTTTTCTTGCATTTTTGGGGTGCTGAACTTGAGGAAGAACCACCCCAGCAAAAATGGGACTCTTGGAAAAGATATTCTGCAAATGAGGTGTCAAATTGCCTGAAAAGAAAAGAAATGTGTACATAAGAAAACAGGAAAATTAGTCTACAATCAGAATAACCAAATTGCTATGTGGTGTACATTAAATTACTAATAAGGAAGAATAACAATTATGTTCCCTTAATTTATTAAAGTTTAACAAGGAAGTATTTGAGTATAGTATAAAAAAATTGAAGTTTTCCCAGTAATCTGTTGAGAGCACATAGGCAGTAGAGAATGTAAAACCACCAGGTTCATTTTCATTCCCCAAAATATAAGACATAATATGTAATGCTAGCAGGAAAAGCACATTCAAACTTTTACATGTTTCCACATGAGTAGCTAAATGGTTTAATTAGCAAGTACTCATCAGCAAAACCTTATTTGGAACAGCTAAAATATCTATACTATTTAGAAACAGAAATATTGCAAAGAAGAAACAGGCTATAGAGTAGTAGCAGAATGATAGAACTATAAATAGGAGTGGAGAGAGCTGTTCTAGCACCAGTTTTGCTTAACTAGTTGTGTGACCTTAGACAAATCTCTTCCCTTTCTGTATCTCAGTTTCTTCTTGTGTAAAATGGCAGAACTAATCCCATCATCTCTAAGGTTCCTTCTAACATTAATCTCATAACCACAACTTCAAAGATGATACCAAAAAATGCTTTAAGGATACTTTAAGGCTCTGATTTATATCTTTAATTAATATTTATCCAGATTTTATGATTTTCATATATACCTTTTATCTATACCTTACTCATGCTACTGTAAATACATGTTTATTATAGATTCCCCACCACAAAAGAGCTACTTGAGCTCCTCATCCAGAAATAATTAAAGAAGAAATCACTGAAACTCTGTGAACAAGACTAACCATCAAAATGTTGGTATAGTCAAAGCAGATCATCAAATAATTCAGATGTCATCAAATACACTTTTCCTAAGTTACTTAGCTATCTGGTTATCTACTACAGTTAACAAAGTTTCTCAGACAATAATTGATTTTCTACTTCCAAATGCTTTAAAAAAGCATCTAATCAACTCTATTGCTTAAAAGTTCTCTTTGAGAGATACAAATATTTGTAGAAGCCAAAATTTTAAAACATCTTTCAGACAAATTGAAGTAGGTCCCTATTGTACTGTTTTTCTTAGTATCAAACATCAACATATGGCTGAGCTATTTGCATGATGGCAATGAAAATATAATTTGCAAAAACAGATAATTTTCTACCTTCTTTATCAGGCCAAGGCATCCATCTGTTGCCATCTATCAAAACAATATGCTTCCCTGTTCTTATAAAGAAAAAACTAAATTTGAAAATCAAGCTGAATTGATCAGCCAATATTTATTCTAGGCATTTAACAGTATATTTTACTAATACCTACCTACTTTTAAAATGATTTTATGAAGTAAATCCAAATCAGAGCTGCCAGGAAGATAGGGATTTCCAGTGGCCATCTCAATTATCATACAGCCCAAAGCCCATATATCTACAGGTCTGAAACAGACAAGAATAAATCACTTCTTCATGGAGAAATATATAAAATACATTATCTAAAAAAACTTTTAAAATGAAGTTAAGGCCAAAGAAAAAAAAATACTTAAGTGATATCATTTATAAATTTTCACTGTAATATCATATGCCAACTTTAGGACATATATTAAATATTATCACATTTTATTAATAATATTAAATAGCTTATATTTAATTTTGTTATCATTAATCTACAATTACATGAAGAACATTATGTTTACCAGGCTCCCCCCTTCACCAAGTCCCCCCCACAATCCCTATGACAGTCACTCTCCATCAGCATAGTAAGATGCTGTGGAATCACTACTTGTTTTCTCTGTGTTGAACAGCTCTCCCCATGCCCCCACCCCACATTATACATGCTAATTGTAATGCCCCCTTTCTTTTCCCCTGCCCTTATCCCTCCCTTCCCACCCATCCTCCCTAGTCCCTTTCCCTTTGGTAACTGTTAGTCCATTATCGGGTTCTGTGATTGTGCTGCTGTTTTGTTCCTTCAGTTTTTCTTTGTTCTTATACTCCACATATGAGTGACATCATTTGGTACTTGTCTTTCTCCGCCTGGCTTATTTCACTGAGCATAATACCCTCTAGGTCCATCCATGTTGTTGCAAATGGTAGGATTTGTTTTCTTCTTAAGGATGAATAATATTCCATGGTGTATATGTACCACATCTTCTTTATGCATTCATCTACAGAGGGACACTTAGGTTGCTTCCATTTCTTGGCTATTGTAAATAGTGCTGCAATAAACATAGGGGTGCATATATCTTTTTCAAACTGGGCTGTTGCATTCTTAGGGTAAATTCCTAGAAGTGGAATTCCTGGGTCAAATGGTATTTCTATTTTGAGCATTTTGAGGAATCTCCATACTGCTTTTCACAATGGTTGAACTAATTTACATCCCTACCAGCAGTGTAGGAGGGTTCCCCTTTCTCCACAACCTTGCCAACACTTGTTGCTGTTTGTCTTTTGGATGGTGGCAATCCTTACTGGTGTGAGGTGATATCCCATTGTGGTTTTAATTTGCATTTCTCTGATGACTAGCGATGTGGAGCATCTTTCCATGTGTCTGTTGGCCATCTGAATTTCTTCTTTGGAGAACTGTCTGTTCAGCTCCTCTGCCCACTTTTTAATTGGATTATTTGCTTTTTACTTGTTGAGGTGTGTGAGCTCATTATTTATTTTGGATGTCAATCCTTTATTGGATCTGTCATTTATGAATATATTCTCCCATACTGTAGGGTACCTTTTTATTCTATTGATGGTGTCCTTTGCTGTACAGAAGCTTTTCAGCTTGATATAGTCCCACTTTTTCATTTTTGCTTTTTTTCCCCTTGCCCAGGGAGATATGTTCATGAAGAAGTCGCTCATGTTTATGTCCAAGAGATTTTTGCCTATGTTTTTTTCTAAGAGTTTTATGGTTTTATGACTTACATTCAGGTCTTTGATCCATTTTGAATTTACTTTTGTGTATGGGGTTAGACAGTGATCCAGTTTCATTCTCTTACATGTAGCTGTCCAGTTTTGCCAGCACCATCTGTTGAAGAGACTGTCATTGCCCCATTCTATGTCCATGGCTCCTTTATTGTATATTAATTGACCATATATGTTTGGGTTATTTAATGTCTGGAGTCTCTATTCTGTTCCACTGGTCTGTGGCTCTGTTCTTGTGCCAGTACCAAATTGTCTTGATTACCGTGGCTTTGTAGTAGAGCTTGAAGTTGGGGAGTGAGATCCCCCCCACTTTATTCTTCCTTCTCAGGATTGCTTTGGCTATTCGGGGTCTTTGGTGTTCAAAATAGCTTACTTTTAATTGCATGAGAAGTCACAATGTAGTCCAGATAAAAAATAACTGTAATTCTAAAATTGATTCACATACTTATATAAGGATATTATGATAAATTGCTTATAAATTAGAATAACTGAATGCTAAAATCATCTTGTATTTAAATCTTAAATATTTTACCACTTACATTTCATTTGTTTATTTTAACATGCTATGAATCATCCATAATTCAACCTTTTTTCCACATAATCATTTTTTTTCTTCAATTCTAGATTTTATGTGAAACATAATCAGTTTTTTGAAAGATAGTCTATATTCCTGGATCTTTTAATGGATAAAATATGCCCTACCTCACATTCAGAAGAAATATAAATATATTACACTGAGATGTATTTTTTCACTAATTGCTATACTGATGAGGCTATAGAAAATGAATATTCCATGTACTGTTCTGGGAATATAAACTTACACTTCTTCAGAGGAAAAGTTGGTAAAAACTATAAAAATTTAAAATTCACATAGTTTTAACCAAACGACTTTATTCCTAGGAATTTATCCTAAGATCTACTCACACATGTGCACAAAGAGAAATTATATGAGAATTTCACTACAGAGCTGTTTATGGTAGAAAAACATTGAAAACAACTTAGACATTCATCACATAGGAATAGCTATGTAGATTTTTGTACAACCACATAATGAAATATTAATCAGCTGTTAAAGAAGATGAGGTAGGTCTTCTTATATGTGCTGGTATAAAGTGATCTCTAAGATAAACTCTCAAGTGAAAAATGGAAAATTCATTAAAGAAATCAAAGAAGATCTAAATAAATGGGGAGATATTTCATGTTCATAAATAGGAAGACTCAATATTGTCAAAATATCATTTATTCTCAACTTGATCTATAAATTCAACACAACCCCAATTAAAATCCATTTTGGATATCAACAAATTGATTCTAAAGTTTATAGTGTTAAAAAAGAGACAAGAGACCCAAAGTGGAGTTGCTTGTGCTAAGCCCACATCACGAAACTGAGACTTAATACCTAACTTAAATTACAGTTTCAACCTTTCCCAGGAATGGAATCTTAAACTAGCCAATCAAGAATTACCTGGTCAGCACTACTGAGGTAATCTGCCTGAAGGAACCCTGCTTTCCCTAAAGGAATATAAACACTCTACTCTTCACTAGTAACTTCCTTGTCCTACACACTTCCATCTACAAAAGTCTTTCATTTTGTACAGCTCTTCAGAGCTCCCTTCTATCTGCTGGATAAGATGCTTCCCAATTCATGAATCATTGAATAAAGCCAGTAAGATTCTTTAAATTTTATTCAGTTGAATTTTGTTTTTTAAAAATATGGAAAGGCAATAGACCCAGAATGGCCAACAGAATGTTGAGGAAGAACAAAGTTAGAGGAAAGACACTACCTGACTTCATGATGTACTATAAAGTTAAAGTAATGAAGACAGTAATCAAAACAAACAGATCAAGAATAGACTAGAGTCAAGAAACAGACTCACAGTAATGTACTCAACTGATCTCTGACAAAAAAGCAAAGGCAATTCAGTGGAGAGAGGAAAGTCTTTTCAACAAGTGATACTGGAACAACAGAATATACATATGCAAAAAAAAAAAAACCAAGACATAGACCTTATGCATTTCACATATAGTTGATTGTCACTGCTACATGAATCTTAAAGGGCTCCCCACTATCTGTTATATAAGCAACTCCCGGTCTAATAGGCAGGGGTGAGAAGAGGATTACCCATTCAGTGACTCTATGTCTTTTGATTGGTGCATTCAGACCATTTATATTAAGGATGATTATTGATAGTTATGTACTTACAGCCATTGCAGGCTTTAGATTTGTGGTTACCAAAGGTTCAAGCGCAACCTCCTTACTATCTAAGAGTCTAAAATAACTTAGTATGCTATTATAAACACAATATAAAGGTTCTTTTTATTTTCTCCTCCTTTTTCCTCCTACTCCATTTGTTATTTATTAGGTGTCATATTCTGTACTCTTTGTCTATCCCTTGACTGACTTTGGGGGTAGTTGATTTAATTTTGCATTTGCTTAGTAATTAATTGTTCTACTTTCGTTACTGTG